TATCTAAATCTTTTATCAAGTCAATCGATTTCTTTGGAATAGTTACTTCATCAAAATGAGGAATCACTACTCTTCTATACTATTCATATTTGTCCGTTAAGTTAATTGACTTAACCAGTATATGCATAGAATGATTTTGCTCATTTAGAAATGCAAAGTTTAAACACCTTTTCAAGACGAGCTTAACATTAGTATCTATAGATATACTGGATAAATTAAGGACTTTATTTTTACGATTCCTTTGGCTGATGTTGATGCCTAAATTCCTGAATTTCTTATCATGTCGGGATCTATGGATCTATCCATCCTATCCGCCAAAACGTCCGCCATTTTCTGCAATTTGATAAAGTCTTCTTGAAAAAATAGCTGAGATAGGGACAGTCTAGTCCTTATTTTGTTTCTAATCAGGTCATGTAATTTGTCTATGCTTTCTTTGAGTCTATTCTTAACAAACCACCTGATACTTGCTCCAGTTTCTTATTAGTAGATATAGGTAAATCTAGAAGTCTACCAAGAATACAACATCTAGGAACTGCATTATGTGAAATACAAATTTTTAAAAATCTTATAGTATTTGCATGCCGGGATATAGATTTCTTGGTTTTCGTATAGCCAGAAGTAAGTTGATAAGAATTCATACCATACGTAGGTAATATATACGAAGAAAATTTGGGTTTCGAGGAATCTCTTGTTTCATAATTGTTGGGCTTACTTCCATTTCGAGTAGAAGTGCTGGGTGAAGAGATTTGAAGGTTCGTTCCACCGGAATCGAAGGAGATTACCTCGGAAACAACGTCAGCATGAATCTTCCGGTAAAGCCAATCGACAGCAGGTCAAGATAAATCCGCCATATGACGTCCTATGCCCTAGTATCTTGTATACCAACCCACAAAGGTTGTGGTACTGCTTGCTCTGATTAGCTTCAATGTTGAACCACAACATTTGTGCACTGGCACACAAGAGACATGGGCCTAGGAGATCATTGACTTGGTATTAGGGCTAGAGACAGGACAGACACGGCGGAGACTAGAGCTTGTTGGCAGACGGTAGGCCTGTTTTACGCTAGACGTGGTCCATGTATCAAAGGCTTGAGCATGAGAATTACGCAGGGGCTTTAGCCTCCAGTTAGTCTCTCAGACGCTAGGTTTTGGAGATAACGCCTCGAGTAGCACTATTGGGGTGGCAGGGGTCGAGTGAAATACTTAAACAAGGGAGATAGCAGACGGTTCCTAAGGCGCAAGAGGGAGACTCTGATCAGACCTAGGGAAGGAAGGCTGCGTAAAAATATGGCAGAGTCTGATTAACATTTCTAGAATAAGCGTGTAGGGCATGAGGGTGTGAGAAAGCTAGCGTGGAGTGTAAAGAGTTATCATGAAATCCGCTCAAAAAGGCACACCATACCACATTTATTTAAGTAAATAAAGATAGTGATAGTGAAGGCGTTATACGAGGATACAGGATTGGCGATTAGCCCAAGGGGGAAGGAGAGATGCCAGGATTGTGTAGCATACAATTTGTAAAAGGATCGGCTTCACTTGTCTCTTTAATTAGTTGTAGTGTGGTGTTAATTAATGCAAGACTTGCTGATGATCCTGGTGAATCGTCTTGGAATGTACCACGTCCACTGTCTAACTCTGGAAATTATCATGCATACAATAGACTCCGGACTAGGTGTGTTCTTGTAAAGATTTCTACCAATATGACCAAGTTGCTAAATAAGGCCAATCAACTTCTATAGCAGAGTGCTTTGAACAAGGTGAATCCAACTAAGTCATCCTGACAACACGACCAAGTTGCCAAAACGAGGTCGCAAAAGCGAAAGGAGACTTCATTTCTGCTATAATAGGTTCTGCATCTTATTCAGACTTAATTTAAGCACGAGAAGCCTAGTGGATTTTGCCTTCAAATCTTAATATTCTATCCATCTTCCTTTGGGATAGCTTGGCTGGCTGTGTCGACCCTGGCGTCTGGCCCAGGTCAGTTGGTCTGAGGCTTTTCGTCTACTTTCCGATGCCGAGTCTGATATTCGCCTCGATGCTGCCAGCCTCCTTCTTAGACTTGCCGTCACTTCTGGACCTGGATTACCTGCAGCTCTTCATCTGGCTGCATCTGCTAACGCAATTAGCTCTGAAGCTCCCGACGGTGGGGACTATTTCTTTCGCTCTGCACTAAACCGATTAGCTGGGCAGGTTGCCGGACTCTTGCCAACTGGTTCGATGACTTCAGGTGAATTATTTCCTCATTATTGCTCATTTCTTTTCAGAAATTAAAGATCCATTTGACAAAAATTATGCTTTTCCCCTCTCCTTCCCCGATTTCTTTTTAAAACTGTTCTTTTCTCTCTGTTAGAATTTACAGGCTTTAAGTTTCATTTGTGTTCAGTTCGAGTAGGTTTTAAAACTATCTATGGATTTTAAATAAGTGCTTTATTCAACCTAGGTCGAATTGCGGAAAAAATTATGTATCAGTCCCTCATGATCTGATGCGAG